AAACGGAAGGCAAATCGTCACGAGGGGCGCAAGACCAGTCCTGGAAATCTAGCGACATACAGACGTGATCAACACGGGTATGTGGAGCTGCTGTGTACACAGGAAATGACGCGCAGACGGACTTGGAGAGGAAAACTGGAGGCAACAGTGAGAACATGGGGTGTCTGAAGAGCAGGACCCCCACTTTGTTCCACCAAAACTGAAAACGCACCTCTGAGCCACCGCTTGTCACATTGTCACTCTGCAACGGGATACTTGAGGAAAACCCTAAATGTGTCGTGCGTGAATACACTGGCTAGTGTCCTGGTGATCTCCACATCCGTACTGGGAACAAAATCATATCACAAATGCTGCCATCTTACCAGCAGTTCCAACAGCTCTCACCCTCCAGTCCCCCCGACACAGAGAGAGGCTAGAAACCGCCTTGCAATCTCTTTACCTGGAATCCGATATTGTGTAGAGCGGTGTGGAGATCGTCCAGGACCCTTCTACCATCAAAGATGAAGGCTGGTTTGAGCATGGTGCGATAGATTCTCTCGAAGTCCAGCTCCTGTGCATCAAATAACGGAAAAATGTAAGGATGAAGGAAAACTCCGCTGAGCTCGGGATCTTTCGGCCCCCTGAGCAGCCTGTTGGTCTTTCCTCTGATTCTGGCTGAGAGGCGCGGGTGGGACAGTCAGCTGCTCACAGTCTATCCCCTGCAAAATGATTAGACAGACCCTCTACCTCTATCAGAGGATACAAACCAAGTCCAGGAGGGCAACAGCTCAGCAGGGCTTCTACTGTAGGTCACGTTGCATCTCCAGCACTTGAGATGGGTTTTAAACTGGTCAATAATGAAATAGTTAAAAGCCTAGGATGGAGTAAAATGCCCTGTAGGACTGGAGTTGTGCGTGGATAGTCTAGATGAGTGCATTCATATTAACCCCATGAGTCTATATTAAATATTTATATTACTTTTTTTTAACATCCCCATTTTAAAGCAATAAGTTGCAAATCTGACAAAATTTTAAAGATGAAAAATCCAGCACATAAAACAACATCTGGCAACTTGCCCAAGATATACTGCTCCATGGGGCCTATATGCATTTCTGCTGAAGCACAAACCACATTTAAAATGTTCCCTGGGACAGACAAATCCAACACACATCTGCATCTTT